ATAATGTGTTCATGTGGTCGTTTTTATGTTGGAAAGACTTGTCGTCCCATTCGTCAAAGAGTGGCTGAGCAGATAAGCGCCTGCAAAGGCCGTTGGGTTCAAAAATCGGAGCTGGCTGAGCACAGGCCAGAAACGGGACACGAGATTGGATGGTCTTAAACTTACCGTTTTGCTGATTATGTCATGCCTATGGTTAAAAGTAAAATTATAGAAGACATCGAAATAAACCGAATAAAAAATACATTGAATGTAAGTAATACAGGCAAGAAGATAAGTAAAAATTACTTGTGCTTAATTAATAGGCTTAGGGATAAAGAGGGAGTAGAGCCGCCTGCAAAAAGGAGGCGACGCAACTAGTCATTTGTTGTCTTGGTTCTAATAATAGTCACTTCTCTGTACTTTTGGCTCACTCTTCCTCTCTCGCGTTGAGACCAAAAACAAAAATAGGCTCATCAACAAAACCAGACGTGTCTCCGACCTTGCGCAATCGGAGTGATGGTTATAACATGTATGTAGAAAGGTGGAGATAGTGGTCATCAAACCTTGATGGCCGAAAACAGACGTCACTTTTGCTGTCCTAATTACTTTGAGCCATTACTGCGAGTTTCGTGCATAAGCGAACACAAACAGGCACATACATATACAGAGACAGACACACTCACAGGCTTTAAAGTTGACATATGACCGTAACTAACCAAAGCACTTTATACCTGATCAAAGAGGTATATGTACCGCTTTTTAGGGATTTGAAGATGAGTTTTTTTGACTCGTTAGCTTGAATTTGGTTGTGAGGATGATACCATGCTCTGATGATGTTCGTCAAATGATGGACGAAAGCTTAGCACCATTCACCGGAATCGAATAAGATTACCTCGGAAACAACGTCAGTATGAATATTCCAGTAAAGCCAATCGAGAACTGGTCAAGAGGAACCCGCCATCGTCTTCTGGTGGAATATACCTTCGAATCTCTTCACCAAGCACTTGAAATAAGCACAACAACAATGTGTTCTTCATCAAGTAAACTAGTCCAAGAATCGAATAAATACATCAAAGGTATGCGTGTATATGTAAATGAACAGAGAACTCTCAAGCAAAAGTATAAAAAATTTTTTAGGTATTGACACACTAAAGTGTAGTTATGTTAATAAGCTATGAAATCCGACTGGTAAATGACAAGTGACTAGTCCCTCAAAAAGAAGTCAATTGGATCAGTCATCCGACAGCTTATTTTTTCCGGCTCACAAGACATTTGCAAGTATATGAATATGTTTCAGGTAGAAGAAACAGCCTTAAAAATAGATAAAACGTCTAAGATTGACTTTCTTCGATGTAAAGAAACAATTGGCTTATTAAGTGTGTGACCCACCGTCTCTCCTTCGTACTGATTGTGCAGTGGCCCAATGCGATATTTGGCCCAGCAGCAGCAAACCGGGCCATCATTCGACTCTCCGGTCTCATTGTGCCAAATGTCGGCATGCAAACGCAAAGGATGGGCTAGTTTGTGCGCTACTTCAGCTCGTTGGCGTAGGTTACGCTGTAGTAAGCCACCTTCGATCTCTCCTTCCCCCTTTCCTTCACTTTCACCATCCCCTTCACCCTCAACCGATTTCGGCAGAATATCCGTTCTTCCATCAGGCCTGCAGGCTGCATCAGAGGTGATAGTCGCTTCACCAGCAGTGCAATCATAGTGAATGTCTCCATAATCGTCATCATCATTATCATATAATGAAGCCACAACACAGTTTCCATCTTTCTTGGCCCTTTTTTGTTCTGTTGGCTGGCGCCTCTGAGAATGGTAGGCTCGCGTCGACTGAACACGGTGACTTGGTCGACCAGGCTGCACTGCCCCATCCGCTTCCACCCGAACGGTCGTGTTTGGCATGCCGGGACTGGTGGAGGTGGCGAGAGACTCAGATAGGGAAATTGAGTTTGTAGCAGAGCCAAGCTTCTTCTTTTTCTTTTTGCGCCGCTTTCGCTTGTTGGGCGAAGCACTATTAACAAGGCTGGACGATGTCTAAACAAGGGAATAAATATGTGTTGGCAAAACAAATAGCTGTAGATACGCTTTAAAATATCCTTTAATGTTGTGAACCAAATATCTGGTCGACAGGACCAGTAAAGAAAATAACAAGTAGTATCACTAAAAACAAAACCTGTTATACGGCGAATAAGCCCTCGCCTTGCTAGCAAAAGACGCATGTGATTGAGTTCACTCCAGTAAAAAGGCCTCAAACAGTTCATTTTTAATTAGCAATTGCTTTATTGATACAAAGAATGCATGCCCTAAGACAAATATACGGACTCCAAATAAATAAGTGAAAGATCAGGGATTTCTCCAGGTCAATCATTTTTCATAAGACAATTAATTTACTTACGATAAAATAAAGAAAACTTATTCTTGATCCTAGATGATTAGGGATGAGCAAAAGTAAACAGATATAAAGAACACAAAACTTGATCCCTATCTTCCAACTAGTAAGATATGCAATATTAATTCGATAACATAGTAGTTTTTATGGAACATAATATATA